CCGGGGCCGACCGGGGGCGGGGCTGGGGGCGGGGCCGGGAGTCCCACTGAGCCCACCCCCGGCCCCGCAGGAGCGACCCCCCCACGCTCAACGCCTTCATCATGGACAAGTCGCTTCTGGACTACGAGGTCTCCATCGACGCCGACTGCAAGCTGCTGACCGTGGGCAAGCCCTTCGCCATCGAGGGTGAGGGCGCCGGGGCCTCCAGGACCCTCGGCGGACCGGTGCATCCTGGGGGCAGTGGGGAGCCACAGAGGGTTCAAGGCGGGCAGCGGCGAGGTCCTACGCGTGTGGGCGGTTCCTCTGGGGCTGCACCGCACCCTAGCCCTACCTGGCCCCGGTTTCCCCCAGGCTACGGCATCGGACTGCCCCAGAACTCACCGCTCACCTCCAACCTGTCCGAGTTTATAAGCCGCTACAAGTCCTCGGGCTTCATCGACCTACTGCACGACAAGTGGTACAAGATGGTGCCTTGCGGGAAGCGGGTCTTCGCGGTTACAGAGGTGGGGCAGGGCCCGGGACACAGGGTGGGGGTAGGCATGGGGGGCCCTGGGCCTTTCTGGGGTGGCCAACCCCCAGCTCCTTTCCAAGACGCACCTCATGTCTGCTTTTGCACACTCCTATTCGTCCTACGAAACCCCACTTCCAGTGTCCCCTCCCCCATAAAACCTGTTTTAGTCATGGAGTTCTTGCCTAGCAACCCCACTCCACAGCCCCAGATCCCTCTTTCTGTTCTGACCTGTCTCCCCCAGCCCAGAGCTCCCCAGGGTCTGCCGTCAGGTGACCATAAGGGGCTCCTGCCATGTCCTGCCTCAGACCCTCCAGATGGGCATCTACCACTTCTCGGGACTCTTCGTGCTGCTCTGCCTGGGCCTGGGCAGCGCCCTGCTCAGCTCACTGGGCGAGCACGTCTTCTACCACCTGGTGCTGCCGTGCATCCGCAGGGGCAGCAAGCTGCAGTACTGGCTGCACACCAGCCAGGTGGGGCGCCGCAACGCTGGGTGGGTGGACGGGCAGGGATGGCCTCCTGCCACCCGGACCCTGCCGCCATCGGGGCCTCTGTAATCTTAGAAAATCCACCGTGCCCTCAACACGGAGCTGCCAGAGGGACAGGAGGAGAGGATGGAGCCAGAGCTGAGGTAAGAGGTGGCCCACCTCACCCGGCACCTGGCCCTATGGCTGGTTTCTGGGGATTGTTCTCCACCCCACTAGCTCCAACATCTGCCTGAAGTCAGCTACGGGATACAGGAGGAGCTGCTTCACACACCTCAGTTCCTTTCTGAGGGTCCCCAGCCTACCCACCCCAGCCTGACAATTCAGTTCATACTTCGGTTCTGTGGTGTGGTGCCTGGTGGCCAACCTCCTCAACTCCCGACAACAGAGCAGGGTGCAGCTGCCCTGGGGGTCACTGCCCAGCCCTGTTCCCTGTCTCCAGTGGCCCCCAGGAGCAGCAGCAGCAGGACACGCCAGTGGCCCCCGAGAGCCCGGGGAGCTGGAAACAGGTGCGTCAGGCTGTGGGCAAGGAGCGCCATGTACGTTTCCTGCTGGAGCCTGCTGTGGCTGCCTCACTGGACATGGAGGTGGGGGCTGGGCCACCGGAGGGCCCCCTCTGGCTGGGCTCCAATGGCCGGCCGCCCACCGTGATGCCCTCGGGTGCCCCGCAACCTGGCGAGCTGGAGGAGCTGGAGCAACACATCGAAGGCGTGCGGGAGCGGCTGCGTCAGGCCCTTGTGCGGCGCGGAGAGCTCCTGGCCCAGCTCGGGGATGGCGCCCTCGACCGGCCGTTACGCCTGCTCCGGGCCATGGAGGCCCCCAGAGAAGCCCCATGCACAGCCGACTGAGCCTCTGCCTCCTGCTCGAGCTGTCACAGCCCTTTCCCGTCCCCAGGAGTAAAGAATGCAGCCAAGGATCCTCCCACCACCCACACAGACAGGCTGGTTGCTGTCAACAGTTTATTCCATTTACACAAACACAATATTAAAGGGAACGGAATGCGCGCCCCTCTGCGTTCTTCGCCGAGTGTCGGGTCTGCTGCCAGCCCACTCCCACCCTGAGCAGGGCTGGATCCCCGCTCCTGGGCACTGCAAATGTTGCTGGCGCCTTAACCCCATGTGCCTGTACCCTTACGGGACCCCCAAGCCTGGTGCGCACGTGGGGAGGGGGCCGGGACTGTGGAAAAGGCACTGCACGTGGAGCACCAGGCAGAGCCGGGCCGCCAGCTGAGCAGCAGTGATGGCACGGGGGTGTGCCAGCCCTGCCTGTCCTGTCCTCTCTGCCACGTATTCGCCTTGCTCAGAGACCACTCTGCTGGTACCCTGCTCTCTGTGGGACGGTTCACTTGAGATCATTTACCAAGCCCCTTCCAGAACCTTCTATGAAGCCCCGTCTCTTCTCCTTGCTGGTCACCACAAACACATCTTGACAGTAGGGACAGGCCTTAGGCCAGGACCCACAGTTGGGGGAGAGAAACCCTCCTTCCGGGCAAACCCAAGGAAACCTGGAAGCCAACCAAAGCAGGCTGGGCGGTCCCAGAGAATGGGGAAGGCCCTAGTGCTCCCACCAGGGACAGCCTCCCCCACCTCACCGGCTTCAGCAGGGTCATGCCCAGCCACCCAGGGACAGAGGTGGCCCAGCTGCTGGTGGCGGCTCAGGACCCAACTTCTGAGGGTGCATCCACTGGGGCCGTGGACGCTGGGATGGGCCCGGTCACTGCAGCCACTGAGGGGGCTGTGTCAGGCTCCAAGTTGTTCTGGGGGACACTGTCCTGGGGGGCGTGGGGGAGGCCTCCGTTGGGGCTCAGGGAGCCAACAGGCCGCCGCTCTAGGAGGGAGGCACTGAGGCCGGACAGGAACGAGGCGTCCGTGATGATGGCAGCTGTCTCTGCGGTGAGCGCCTGCGGGCGGCCGCCCTCCCCCCGCCGCGGGACACTCACCGATGAAGACGAAGATCTGGTGGTGCGAGTAACGCAGCAGCATGGACACGCTCAGCGTCTGCAAGGCAGCAGCGGGCAGCGCCGTGTGAGGCAGGCGAGGCCCGGCCGCCCTGGCCGCTCCAGCCGCCCCAGCCCACCTGCGGCACTCACGAAGATGACCATGATGACGAAGGCCGCCAGGTACGACGTGCGCGCCATCCACATGCTGACAAAGCGGTAGTGCTCGCCGGACACCACGTTGCGCAGGAAGCCTGCAGAGGGCTGCGGTGAGCAGAGCCCGCAGAGCCCGCAGAGCCCGCAGAGCCCGGCCGCCCCGCCCCACCCCGAGCAGGCCCCACCCTTGTTCTCCTCGTTCTCGGCCAGGCCCTTCACGCTGGACATGAGGATGTCGTCGTAGCCCAAGAACTCGTCCAGCAGCAGGCGGCTGAAGCGGTCTCCGAAGCACTGGTCCCGTGTCGGGTCTGCGGGCAGGCGGGTCAGGCCGGCCACGGACGGGGATGAAGTGCCTGGTCCGGACCCCCCTCCCTGGACTCCCACTGGCAGGCCCCCGTCTCCCCAGGCCTTGAGAAACCCACCACTGACCGAGGCACTGGGAGCCTTCCTGCAGCCAGGACAGCCTGCAGGGACCCCGAGGGTGGAGGGCAAAGGCCTGGCACGACCAGACAGGTCGAACTCACCCAGGGTGACCACCATGACCGGGATGCTGAGGCGCTGCCGCGTGGCCTGCGACAACCGCAGGAAACCATACTCCAGCGAGTACTCCACGATGTACTCGTCCTGCGGCCACACTGCGGAGACGCGGCAGGACAGAGTGGGGTCTGGTCAGCCCCTGCACTGCGCCCACCACCCACTCTGTGTGCACGGGGGCAGGTGTCCACAGCAGGGATACCCTAGGCCAGCTGGTGGGGAAGACCACAACGCGGGGACACATTGGACAGTGCCCGCCAGAGCGAGAACCCAGCCTGCCCCTCTGCCCCAGCCAGAAGCCCCAGCCCACCCACCAACTTCAACAGTCCTGGCTTTCTGGAGAGATCAACTGCTGCCTTGCCCTGTGGGAGGCTCTCAGGAGTGAAGCAGGGAGGGTGGGGGGCTGCCTGGCCGGGAGTGGGGGAAGCAGAGCCCCAGGCACCACAGCTCGGACTTCTTGGCTCAGGGCAGATGGGGCAGGGGCAGATTCCTTCAGCATAGCCTGTCAGAATGTGTAAGTTTGATCCCCCCAAGACATTTTTCACAAAAGGGGGTCCCAGAGAGGATGAGCCAGTTACCAGGGGCCCTGACACATGGGGAAAGTGAGGCACAGAGGTTCCCTCATTTGTCCAGGACAAGCAGCCAAGTGGGGCTCACATTTAATGCCCCTTTCTCCTTGGCTACACTGACCTGGCTGTTTTTATTCTGAGCAGGGACCTGCTGAGATGACTCCCCATGCCTCGGACGTGGCCACACAGCACATACCTTTGCTGGGTGTCTCGGGGAAGGGAAACTCCTGACTGTCGTTCAAGGCCTCAGCACTGCCTGGCGGCTTTAACACCTTGGGCTCAATGTCCAGCTCAAACTGCAGGCAACCAGGGCCAGAGTGTCAGCCAGCCCAGCACTAGGTCCCACCAGAGAATGTGTCCCTGGAGGTCCCTCCCTCCTGCCAACTAGAGGGTGCTGTGACTGTGATCCCTACCCTCCACCAGGATGCCCATCACTTCTCGGGCTGGAGGGCCGCTGACCCACCAAACACCAGGGCCAGGACCAACCTCCTGCACCTCAGGCCTCAGCTGGGACCCCCAGCCTAACACCAGGTCCACCCTGGTATGTGGCCATCTCCAGGTGAGGGTCTGAGCCCTGAAGCCAGAGACAGGAGTGGGGAACAGTTGGTGCTGGACCCATGGTGGCCTCGGGGAGCAGAGTCAGCAGGATCAGGGCTGGTGGGCTGGCAGCCAGCACCAATGCCCCCACTGCTCCTGGCCCTGACTGACGCCCAGCATGTGACACTGGCCAGAGCCCGTCTTCTTCTCGGGGCCCCTAACAGTTAAAGCACAGAGGTTTCCCACCAGACTGGCCCCTGCCAGTGCCTGATGCCGCCTGCATGCTGCCAGTGATGGGCACTCACCAGCCCTGCGGGCAGCTGTGCCCTCTCACAGCCGATAGGCGACCTCTTCAGCGTCCCAGGACTAGGCCAATCCCCTGCACACAACAGCTGGGACACCCCGAGGACTCAGTCTGCCCAGCATAAGTTCTCTGCAGCCCTCTCCCAGCTCTCTGCCCTTCAGGGGACCTGGGACCCAGCCTCCAACAAGGAGAAAGGCCAAGACTCTGGCTCTGGAGCCCCCAGGCCACCAAAAGGCCACACCAGCTGGAGCAGGCAGGGGCAGACTTGCCTGTGTGCCAGGCCCAGCAGATTGCTCCCTCAGCCATGTGCATTTATTGAGCATCCCCTGCATGCTGATGTGCACAGGCCTCTGGCCTGGCTCACCTTGATGGAGCTGTTCCCAAACATCTCCATGGTCAGCTCCTCCTCCTCCTCGTCCTCGAGCTCCAGGCCACCGCCTGGCTCCACGGCCAGGCCAGGGAAGTTGCCACGGGCGCTGCCGTCACAGAACTGCAGAAAGACTGGCGCACGGCTGGAGTTATGCTGCACCTCCACACGCAAGATGCCCTCGCGCGGCCACGTGTCGCGCACGTGCTCCAGGCAGTTGATGGGCGAACGGGAGAAAACGATGTGGATGTAGGCCAGGACAAAGAGCACGAACAGAGCCTGGGGGTGGGCAGCCTGCAGTCAGCAGGGAGCACCCAAGACCCCACAGCCCACAGCGCCCGAAGGCTGACCAGGATAGCGAGACCTGAGCTTGCTCAGGAGAAGGGAGCCCCGCTGGGGGTGGGCAGCCTGCAGTCAGCAGGGAGCACCCAAGACCCCACAGCCCACAGCGCCCGAGGGCTGACCAGGATAGCGAGACCTGAGCTTGCTCAGGAGAAGGGAGCCCCGGACCCGTCCCACACTGACAACCCCTGATCAACCCCCCATCTGGGGAGAGACTGGGCTGGGCTCAGGCCCACCAAGCAGAACACACCAGCACCACTGACCAACTGTCCCCATCCTGCAAGGGCCAGCCCAGGTGCTGCTACTGGGTATGCTGTCCACATGAGGCCACCATGGCCACCCCACGGACTGTCCAGCTGTTTCCTGCCTCATATTCTGCTGTGCCCTCAGAACTCCCCTGATCTCACCAGCTAAAAATAGCCTCCCTTGCCCAGCTAGGCACCTTCTGCCCTCCTCCTGGGCCTGGCAGGGCCAGCTGCAGCTGCTGAGGACATAGCTAGCTCTGTGGGCTGGGCCAGTGTGTTCTCCTCCGAGGCACAGCGCCCTCACCTATGAAGTGGGACGACAGCAGTCCTCACTGAATGCTTCTGCCCCCAGGGGATGTTTGGCCATGTCTGGGGACATTTGTAGTTTTCACAATTGTGGGCTGCTACTGACATGGAGGGGGTGGAGGCCAGGGACGCTGCTGAGTACCTGCAGTGCCCAGGAGGCCCCCCCCCAGAGGACGAGCTGGCCCTGACATCCACAGTGCCAAGGGGTAGACCCTGCCCTAGCAGGCAGAAGGCAGGTCGCGGAGTGGGCCCTTCTGCAGGGAGCTCTTTCCTGTCTGCTGAGCTGGCCTCTCAGGGCAGCCTCCCAGCCCAGATGCCATGTTCTTGGCATCACCCCCGGCCATCTGCAGAGCCCAGCAAGAATCATGTCCACCTGCTGTCCCGCTCTATGCAAAGGGCCCACCCAGGAATGATGGGCGCCAGGAAGCCAAGTGAGGCTCAGCCAAAGACTGGGGGTGTTATGTCATCCAGGCAGACATACCAATGACCCCTCCTATGCACACACTCCCACACTGAACCCTCAGACCGTCCGGGAAGAGCTGGTGAGACTCCAAAACCACAGCCCAGAGAGACCTGAATCACAAAGACGCCAGAGCACAAAGCTCCTCCCAGACCTGCCAACAGACTTAGGGATGTGGTGAGCCACCTGTGGCCACACAGCCAGGAGCAGGACCTCCAGGACCTCCGTCCCCCCGACATCCACTGCCACCTCCCCTCTGGAGCCCTCCGCAGACTGGGCAAAGAGCTGCGTCAGCAGAGCACCCACCCCCTCCTGGCCTGGCCACATGGCTTTGACCGGAGGGAGATGCAGAGCCTGCAGATGCGAGAGGCTCCAAGTCTGGGCATGCTGCTGAGGTCCTGCATCCAGCCCCAGCACAGACTCCTCAGCCGTGTTAGCAGCAAAATTGCCTTCTCTCGGGCCAGTTTGAATGGAATTCCGTCCCTTGCAGTCAGAAGTGCCACAGATGGGTGGAGGTTAGCGCACCACTAAGATTTAAGCAGACACAGGCAAAAGCAACACCCCCTCCCCGCAGGCATTCAGGTTCCAGCAGATAGACAGATGCTGCAGCTTAAAAGGGGGGGCGGGGGGCGGGGCAGGGAAAACACACGAGGAGGGAGCAGGGCCCTCTGCTGGGGAGGAGCAGGCAGTGAGGACAGCCAGCCCCCGCCCCAACATGGCATCTGGGATGGCAGCTGTGAAGGCAGGATGTGGTCAGAGGGGCTGACCCCAGTCCTTCTGCTCAGGCCTCCCAGGCAAGAGGGGCCAGCCAGGCCCATGATGGGTGCCTAAGGGCCATGCCCTACTCTCCAGGCCTGAATGTGCACAGGGTGCTGTGCCTGGGACACTGACTGCTTCCAGGCCAGAGGACAGCACTGGACGACATGCTGAGATGTTATAAAAAGTGCTGACACACAGCATGTCCTGAGGTCAGGGCTGCTGCTTCCCACTGACGCCCGCGTCTGCCGCCAGCCCTCGTTTACAGATGAGGAAACCGAAGCACAGAGGTCCAAGCCAGGAGGGGCGGGGCCGGAGCAGTCCTGGGCTGACCACGAACAAACTGGTGACCCTGCAAGAGCAAGCAGCTCTCAGGGACGTGCTGTACACACATCCTGCCACAGCCAGCACAGGTGTGAGTGACCTGTCCTGCGCAGACAGGGGAAGTGACAAGAGGGGGCTGGCATCTATACACGAATATGTGTGGACTAGGCTGAGTGGCCTCCAAGGCCCCCCAACGCTGACCCAGACTTCACCCCGGTGCCCTCTCTGGCACCCCTCACAGTAGCCCCGCACGACTGGGCACTCCCCAACTGAGCTGGGGGGGGCCAGGAGTTTCTGCCCCATGTGACAAGGCCAGTCCCCATCTGGGGTCTGGGCCTTAGTTCCCCCACCAGAGCAACAGGCAGGTAACATCCAGACCAGTGCAGCCACATCCCCCACCCCAGGTTCCCACAGGGCAGCAGTTGTTTCCCTCAGCCCCACCGCCACCCAGGCAGGCTGGTCCAGGTCCTGAGCAGCACTCCCCACAGGAGTCTCAATTGGAAACACTACCATGGACCCCTGGCCACCCGTGCCCCACATTCTGACCCAGGCACTCCACACAACCAGGGTGGTCCAGTCCCTAGCCCCTGTGACGCGTCTCCGACCCTGAGCTCCCTGGACAGCACGCCCAGGCCGCTCCTGCTGCCCGGATACCGCACCCCTTCACCGCTGGCTGCTGCTCCCCTCCTGGAGACCCTGCCCTGCCTAGCCACAGATCTCACACCATGCCTGGGTCGGCCCACACATCACTGTCCCAGAGCCCAGCCCGAGGTGGTCACTGAGTGAGTGTTCAGAGACACTTGGCTCACCTGAAGTTGTGTTACTGCCACCTCCTCCAGGAAGCATCCTTTGATGCCCCCAGCTGGAGCTCCCCAGAGACCAGGAGGGCCGGGAGCAGCCTGGTCCATCTCTGGGTGTCTGAGTGATCAATGGACAAGACTGTGGGGCCACACCTTCCTCCCCAGCAAGGGCAGAGAGCCCTTCAGGCCCAGCTAGGAAAACCTTCAGGAGGGTCCCACAAGTCCTCTCCTTCATCCTCACAATGACCACATGAGGGGCCGCTTACTCCCACTCACCAGAGGGGAGGACACTTGCCCATGTCTAGAGGCTCCGTGTGTCAGGGCACCCTTGACCCTGTGGGCATCACTTGGTGGCTGCCAAGGTCAGTCAGCCAGGGCCAACAGTCCCATCCAATGGACTCGGGCACCTGGTGCCCGATGCTCCAGGACCATGTCCACCGTTGTGGCCTCAGTGCCATGAAAATCTACATGGGTGGATGCTAAGGCCAGCAGGGTTGTCTTTTGAGGGCCCCTTGAACATGGGCCTGGCCACCACCTCTCTCCCCACAACCTGCACTGCATGGCATTTCCTGAACAACCCAAGGCACAGGTGGTCTGGCTGGCTGGAGGATGGAGCTTAGCTGCAAGGGATCACAGGAAGAACAATCTTGAAGGGAGCCTGCCAGGGGAAGACCCGATCTCTGCAGTGAGAGCACTAGAAGCTGGTGGGCAGGAAGCAAGAGCAGAGCTCTCCGGAACTTAAAGTAGCCTCAGAAATTGGCTGGTCCCAGCCCGCACTTTGCAGACAGAGAAAAATAAAAAGGCAGCAGGCTCTGATTCCGTGCCACCAGGGTTTGGGATTCACAGTAAACAGATCTCCTGGCTCTGCCACAGAGATCACGTGGCCCAGCACCCCCAGTTGAGAGTGGAAGGATTCTGGGGGATTGAGAGCCTCCCCAGCACCCCCACCTTCTGGGGTTCTCATTCGGCAGTGGGCAGGTTACCCTCAGCAGCAACCCTGTCCCATCCATACACCTATGTGAGTAGCACCTGCTGGAGATGGAGCGAGTCTACTGGTCTGGCCCAAACACCCAATCCCTTCCCAAATCGAGAAGTGGTGAGACCAGATCCGCGGCTACCAGAACCGCATCACAGGAGGCTGGCCTCTGTGGGTGGCCCTGGTCATGCACATGGGGTGCACGCCTGCAATGACAAGTGCCCAAGAACACAGAGGCTCCTTCCTGGATCCAGGCCACTCTCAGTGTCCCCAGGAAAACAGTTTTCACCGTTTGTGAACAAGTGTTTGTCCACAATTTCAGGCCATCTGTGGACTCCAGAGAACCCAATAAAGGATCCCTGATTCAGGAAGCTCCCACCTCCCTGCTCAGGTGCCTCCTGAGATTACCACAGGGGGCCACAGGGAGAGAGAAGGTGGGAAGGACAACGGGTCCATCTCACCTTCCCAGGGATGGGAGGTTATGGGGGGCTGTGGCAGGAGCTCAAGCCTGGGGTCCCTCAAAGCTGTGGCAGGGCCAGGACCCCAGGCTCGAGCTCCTTCCATCGAACTCAAAAGAGCAGCCGGCCCTGATCAACCTTTGGACTTGCCACAACCTCAACAGCCTCATCCACCAGCATCAGCTCCCTTTCTGCAGACCCAGAATCAAAAGCCCATTTGGCGAGGTCAGTATCCCTCAGCCAGGGCGCGACCGTGCTGTGATGCAAAACGAAAACAGCCATTCCTCCACTTCCTCGGCACCCAGGCAGCCCAGTGACCCTGCCAGTTCCTTTCCTGAGGGGCCGCAGCTGCTGCAAGAACGTCGCACATCCCAAGCAAGACTCCTCCTGAGAGCGACCCAGATGACGGCTCTCCTGCCTGAACTGCCCTCACGGTGACACCTCTGCAAGCCGGGAAGGCAGTCGGCGTTGGCAATGACTCTGCCGCTAACCCCAGCGTGATGACTTCAGCTAAGTTACATTCTCCCGTGAGTCTCCGAGGAGGGAGAGGCGGGTGGGGGCAGGAGGAAGGGCTCAAGGAGGGGGAAGTCACTACTAGGAGGAAAAGAGGGAGTGGGGAGTGGACTTACAGTGCAGGGGGGCGGGGGCTGGGACGGGCCAGGATGGGTGGGGAGGGGCCCTCCGGGCTGAGGATCCCGGGCGGCAAAGTCAGGGGTCAAAGGGCGGGAGGGGAACGAGGGCCGGGCTCCCCTGGCGGAGGTGGAGGACCCAGGCGACGAGGCGGCCGGGGAAGGGGTGGGGCCTGGAGGGAGCAGGAGTGAGGCTTCCGGAGTCGGGACCAGGGTCTACTAATAGGGTGGAAGTCCCAGGGCAGGACAAGGTCCACAGACTGAGTCAGCGGGCGCAGGCATCGGGGGCGGGTGCCTAATCAATCGGGCCGGGTCTAGGCGTCCGGGGGGAAGGGTGTCGGAGGAAAGGGTGGAGCTCGAGGTTCCCAGCGGGGTCAGGGGTTGTGGTCGGAGATCACAGCCCGGGGGGGGGCCAGATCCGGCCGCCGGGGCCAAGGGTAGGGGGTCGGGGCCGCGGTCACCTTGAGCAGCACGAAGAACTCGAAGAGCCGGCGGAAGGCGGGCGGGAAGAGCCGCGAGTAGGTGACAGCCATCTTGAAGAAGAGCGCGTGGAAGAGCCGGTCGCGCACATTGATGAGGGGGTTCGGGTTGAGGTTCGGGGTGCGAGGCCCGCGCGCGGGGGCCGCGCCGCCG